CCGTTTTTACCATAACTTTTTTGATTGAATTTTCCAATTTTTTTTTTCGATATTCTAAAAGTTGTAAATGCTCTAAAAATGCATATATTTGCTCAAGAAGGCATTCGCCATCTCTTCGTTTTAAGGATTTACGTCCGTTTTTATATTTTTTTTACGCTATATTTAAGGGGGTGCATCTTGCAGGTTAGCAGGTATTAGCAGCTAAACTCAACGTAACGTCGTCCATCCACTAATACCCAACTGTTACATATACAATTCCTAGGGGGATCCAAGGGGATGCTTAATCAATTTTCTAATAAAGCTCCTCAAGTTTTGCTACGTTTTGCTGTTTTCATGACCATTTTTCCAAGTATGTACATTAGGGTCGGTTGTAGCTTCGACAAAGTTGTTTGGTATAGTATTCTCAATCTAAGTCCGAGTTTTGCTCGACTTCGTCTTCTCTTCGAAAAATAAGACCTTGGACTAGATTTTCAGGATAAAGTCCCTTCGAAGAACTGTTAACGTTCCGAATACGATGCCTCCGAAAAACGTGTAACGGCAAGTTTGCAATGGCATAGCTTAGCCATTTCTTGATGAATTTCACAAATCGTGGTACCTCTAGAATTCCTAGGGTCTGTAGATTATTTCGATTGTAAAAAGATTGAAAAAAGGGTCGCCTACTTTTTTTTAAGCGAAAAGTGTCGTTACCCATTTTGTTTGAAGGTGTGTTTATGGCTTTTGCAATTTAGGATTTCAAAGATCGTCGGTTGCAGTGGCTTGCTTACTGATCCTTTCATATTAAAAATGCATGGTAAGAACGCTTGTTTATCGTGTATTTTGTAAAACTTTTCGTTGTCGTCGGTGCCGGGTTTGAATAGTTATAAAAACTTGAGTAACGCTATAATGTGATATGAGAGGCTCGGTGGCCTTAGAGCAACCGTTTTTGCTTACTGAGCAAAACATCATGAGTCTAATCTCCAGCCCATCCACATTCAAGATTCGTCAATGATTAAAAAGGAGCTCGTCTGCCTAGTGGCAAACGTTTTTGCTTACTGAGCAGAAGACCGTGGGTTCAATCCCAAGCTCCTTCGCGTTATATGATTGTTAGGACATCAATTCAGCTTATCGTTTACCAAAACGAACCCTGCTGCAAGGCCAACCCTATTACCCAATATCCCAGTGATTCCTCGTGGAAGTGCAGAGGTGTTCTCGGCTTCCATCAAAGCGAGTGTCACGTCAACACATTCCTACCCCTTCCTTTCTTGACCTGTGTTCGGGCGCGGCCGGCGCTGGTATTGCCCAGTTTGAGATCACCAGTTTTTACACATTGAGGATGATTGCTAGTCCCAAGCATCGTCTATTGGTTCTCTGTGAAATTACAGCTGATCTGGCAATAATAGAGGTGCAACCGTGGGCGGTCAATCATGCTCATGCTCATGTAAGTGGCTTAGGATCTATAATTTAGATTAATGGACATAGCCAGAATACAGTCATGGTTCCTATATATGGATCTTAGAGACAACGGATAGTCTTCTAAAAGATCAGGAACATCCGTAAAAGTGGTCAATCCACGAAACTGATCCTAGAGCTCCGCGTTTTTTGTAAACATTAGGAACTGTGATATAATAAATAATTTTAGGTTATGACATAAACATGAACCTGGATGTCCATGGGACCATCCTCCGGAAGATATGGAAAATCCGTAAAAGTGGTGCATCCATGAAACTGATACTAGAGCTCCGCAGTTATTTTTTCAAAAACACATGGAACGAGATATAAGAAATAAGTTGGGGTCGTGACATAAACAAGGACCCGGATGGTTATGGAACCGTCTTCCAAAAGATTCGGAGGATTCGTGAAAGGGATTCATCCATGAAAATGATCTTAGAGCTCCGCCGTTTTTTTCGAAAACACTTGGAACTGTGATATAAGAGAGAATTTAAGGCATGGCCAAGGGACCGTCATCCGGAAGATCGGGAACATTCATAAAATGGTCAATCCATGAAACTGATCCTAGAGCTCAGCGGTTTTTTTAAACACTTTTAACTGTCATATAAAAAAAATTAGGTCGTGACGTAAACGTAAACCTGGATGGCTATGGGATCGTCCTCTGGAAGATCCTGAACATCCTTAAAAGTGGTAAATCCTAGAGGTCCGTCCGTATTAGGAACTGTGATATAAGAATGAATTTGGGGTCACGACATAAACATGGACCCTGATGGCTATAGGACCGTCTTCTGGGAGACTAGGAACATCCATAAGAGTGCCAATTTCGTGTTTTTTTAAGCGTCTTCATAAATGTTTAATTTTTTCCTCTACCAACACATACGTGAGGGCTAGATTTCATCACGACCAAGTTGCACGAATACAACTGTAGTGCTAAATGTGCACGGAGACACACATATGCAGTTGAAGTGAGCTGGTGCAAAGTCAAAGGTGTCGCGCTGAAACACAGCCTCCGCCGAGGCAAGAGTTGTTTCCACGCCGCCGCCGATGGACCGGCGCACATGTCTAATCCAATATGGCCGAATTTTAACAACAAAATGTGAATCATTGCCTATAACAAACAATTACGCAAAGTTTCATAAAAATCAGAGAAGGCTGGTCAAAGGAATTCAGCGAAGAGTTGAGTTGTAAGGGTATTACGAGGATAATTGAAAGGGCATCTCGAAAAGAGTTTTGCGAGAATTTTAAGGAAAATTTCCAGTGTATAAAAGAAGAGAACTCCTTCTTCTTCTTCTTCTTCGCATTTCAAGCTTATTGCATATCGCATATTAGCTTATTGCGTGCTCTCAACTTAGTGTTCTAGATGCACTTCCACAGTTATTAATTGAGAGCTTTCGATGCCTGTACCATTTTTGCATTGGTATAATTGTGTGGCAAGTCCAATCATACTTCTATGCCCAGGGAAGTCGAAAAATTTTCCAACCCGAAAAATTCCTAGACCGGACCGGGAATTGAACCCAGCCACCTCCAGCATGGTCTTGCTTTGTAGCTGCGCCTTTACCGACTGAGCTAAGGGAGCCCCCCTTAGAAGAGAACTCCTAGATTATTCAGATCAAAATTCAAGACAATTCTGAGGTGAACTGCATGGGAATTATAAGGAGAAATCTAGCGAATTTAAAAATAATTTAAAAGACGCTTAAGTGAATTCTTAAAAAAAAATCAAAATTCGAAGAAAATCTAAATAATTTTTTGGAGAGTTCTACAGGGAATTTTTGAACTATAGTTTTAAGAGATTCTTAGAGAGAATCTCAAAATTATGCTGGAAGAATTCTGAAAAGAAATATGTGAAAGTAAATGATTCTAGAGGAAATGCTTGAGAACAATCCAAAGGAGTGAATTTCCAAGGTAGTTAAAACATAGACAAATTTTGAAGACTTCAAACGCATAGCCAAATTCAAGGTCCAGGAAAAATGCTACTATCTTAGCAATGACCCATTTAGCCTGGTGATCTCTTCGGCTCAATCACATTCGGGTTTATGCTTAATTTAAATAAATAAATAAATAAATGGCTTTTGAGAAATGTAGAGCTGAAGTGTTACACACGGTTTTTACCGAAAGTTGCACAACCTCGGCCACATATTTAACTAATATATCAGCAAAAACTGCAGTGGAAAATTTTCCTAGACTCGACAAACAAACATACCTTGTTGCTGAGATATCAGAGCGATTTGTTTATGAAAGCTTGGTTGTGACAATCTCGGCAAAATATTGCCGATCCGGAATACGACATTAAGTGTGGATGAATTTATGATCTTCTTCTTCTTCTTCTCATTTCAAGCTAATTGCTTATCGCATATTAGCTTATTGCGTGCTCTCAACTTGGTGTTCTAGACGCACTTCTTCAGTTATTAATTGAGAGCATTCGATGACTTACCATTTTTGCATTAGTATAATTGTGTGGCAAATACAATCATACTCTATGCTCAGGGAAGAAGCCTTGCTTTGTAGCTGCGCCTTTACCGACTGAGCTAAGGGATGCTCCACCCTTTATGATGGAGTTCCGGAAAATGTAAGTCCAAAAATGGTCAAAACCAGCTTCCCAACAATCTCAAATATTTATGGAATTTCAGCCAAATTTCTTTTGAGACATAGGACTTTTAAGACACTGCCAAAAGAAATATTATCTCTGACTTTGGACGGTGAAAATCATGCCGTGAGGAAGAAGAATAAAACCAAATTTTCCACCATTTGTGCAACTATTTTCCGTTTCCTCTTCTCCGCTTTACGCTGCTATGATCACTGCATGGCAGTTAGCGTGTGCCCAAGCTAAAAAAAATACTAGAGCATAGCAAAACAGTGCAAGACAAAACTGTGCTTAAAAAGTTGCCATTAGTAGATCGCACAAAGGCCTACTATTTTCACCTGGATGACTGTCTGTTGCACCTATAGATATATGAATAGTAGGCTCGGGAGAAACCGTTCCTGATAACAGGCCTAACAACTGCGCTATCAACTCGTTCATTCCACAACAGCAGCAGCAGGTAGAGATAATGATAGGGTATAAAGAAGATAGACGAACCGCAAAAAATAGATGCCTGGCATGTCAGACATACCTACATACAATGCAATCATCATCATCATCATCAGCATCGATTTCCGACCAGTCGTCTGATAATGGCTGTTTTTGACCTCGTTCAGTGCCACGCTCCAATATACCGAGGAGACCATCTGGCGGATTGTGTTTTCAGTTTGGTCGAGACCTTGCCAGCAAGATAACTAACTACTCAACTGCCACAAATCGCCTAAAACTACAATCAATGTCCCACCAGCAGTTGTCGTCACTCGGTTTTGTTGGTGGCGATTGAGTTCATCAAAGCAGAACGACCGACCCTGAATAGACGACTCAACTTCCTCTCAAATGAGACAAATTCACAAACACAAACGGGGACGGAGACACGGTTGTTTCATTTAAATATCACGTTTCTAACCGACTCCCTTCAGGGCACATAAATCTATGTACAACCCATTCACCTTAAGATTATGGTTTCGCAAAAAAAAAAGGATGCGCGTCTTACCTTTCAATTAGTTGTTGTTGTTGTTGTCATTCAAGCTCTCAGCAAGCGGTGCACAGCAAACCAGTTCTTTGACATGCCGTCGTTGCTGCTGCTCGTAGTAGGCAAAGGAAACTTGTTTGCAATCTACAAAACACCACTCCCCGACGGTTACTACGCGCGGTTCGAACTCGTTCAGCGACTACTACGATGAGGTCAGTCTCCGCGCAGGCTGGTTGGATGATTATTTTTTTCTTTTCGAAAATGAGTGCACTTTTCTTCGCAAGCGACTTTCGTTTTTTAAAAGGAACAAATTACACCTCGTTGTAAGCCACATGCAAACACCAAACTTCTTTTTTTTTTTTTACTTTCAGCTCTCTGACACCACTTGTTTCGAGTTCTTCTTGTATTGCTCGAAAACTCTTCAGCTGCACTGCTCTAATATTACCTCACACCTGGTTGGCTGCTGTTGTACATATTTTGCTTTTGCAAACAATCACTCTTTTTCACTGCACCTGGTTGTACAACGTACAACAACACTCGCAGCCTAGCTCCGAACCAAAACACGATCACGAAACGACGGTGCAGTATTATTCTTCTTTCCGGTCGGTCAAAGCTCCACCTTTGTTCGACCCCCCCTACCCGTCACACTTCTGCTGATGGTAGATGGATTGTTGAGAATGGTGGCGAAAAAATAACGAAATTGGTAACGCTTTTCGGTTGGTTTGATGCCAATGACGATGCACGTACATTCACACTCACATAAACACACTGTTGCTATTGATGACTTTGTTTTTGCTGTTGTTGTTGTTGTTGTTGCAATTGGCGATTTTTTTTAAACGGAATTGGAGTTGTTGGCGGTGTTGACACTTTGTTTCGCTGTTGGCATCCACGATGGCCGTGTGTCGGAGCGATTGTCTGCAGCGTGAAAAACAGAAACAACACGAAAGAGATAATTATTATTAGATTATTTTTGCTTAATAAATTAAATTTGCACTCTGTTGTGGCGAAAAGTGCGGCAAGAAATGGCGAAAATTTTGATTGACTGCAGTGAGCAGTTTGATTTCGGAGCGATGCCAGAAGAATTGAATGCCTACATCTGTAATAGGTAACAGGGTGGCCAGTAGACTGATGCAAAATTTGAAATGTTCGCTCCACAGTGTTCAAACGGTTCCAAATCGGGTCCTGATTAGCCTCCGAAAGTTTAAACTGATTTGATAAGAAACTGACTTGGCAGAAACCATTTGAAGTTTATCTGGTAATTAATAAAGGAAAACAAAACTGTTTGTTCATTGTCTTCTAGCCTTTTTCCATATTGTACTGTTAACAAGTTCTATTGCTACTCGTATGGGAATTTTTATCGGTTACAACTTTGCAGAAAATCGTTTTTCAGCCAAACGTCTTATGAAATAGTTATTAATTGTTTAAGAGATTGATAAGATTGGCAAGATTAAGCAACTGTATTGTGGGCAACACTGTATTCTGCAGTGTGACATAGTAGCCATGATTTTTGTCCTCTATTCTACGCGCCATAATCACCAATGTTGCCTGCTGAACAGTTGATTGAGCATAAACATAAGACATCAGTAACTTGAATCATTAATAATTTTTGTTCCTTACATTTGATCGAAAAGTGGTCTACAACAAAGTTGTAGCTGAGAAAATTTACAACAAGCTCAGCTATCATTTTCTAAAGTAGATTGAACTGGTGAATTTTGAGATTGATGTGAACCGGAATTATGGTTTCCCCATAGTAATTTCCATATAAACTTCAAATGGTTTGGGCCAAGTCAGGTTCTTACTAAATGAGTTCGAATTTTGGGAGGCTAATCAGGACCCAATTTGGAACCGTTTGAGCACTGTGGAGCAAAAATTTCAAATTCTGCATCAGTCTAGTGGCCAGTGAATTTTCATTTTTAAATTCCCGGTTTTCCCGGTTAAAACCTTAAAAATTGCCCGGTTTTTAAAAACGTGGCCAACTGCAAATTTTCGGAGGTTATTTGTGGGAAAAATAAAAGCAAAATTACAGAACTATTTTTTAAAGTTAAAAGTATAAATTCAACTCAATGAGTTACTTAATGTATTCAAAACAAATCATTGATCTTTCGACATACTTTGAAAAATCAATTTCTATCACTTTTTCTGCTCGATACATCTTATGATTACAACGCCCTAGAATTTATTGAGTAACAAAGATTACGGTCACTAGACCAAATGCTATCTGGATGAATAGGTTATGAGAAAGGATTGTAAACCATAGGAGATTTAATTGAAAAAAAAAATGTTTCAGGAAAAATTAACTTGAAACAAATGAGAATTAGAGGAAATTGTTATGGATATCGGATAAAGAAAATGTGTCTTCACTCCGTTGTCTATACTAACATAAATATTAACCATTCAGTACTCACGCTGATGTACAATGTTAAACACGAAAAAGATTTGTAAAACCTACTCTGCCTATAATCGCATATCAGTCCCAAGTGGATTTTCGTCAAATTTGAGAAACAACGCTATCCACTATCAATTGACATCTACTTTCATATCTAGACTAACATATGAAAAGGGCGGAGTTCCAAAATCACCATATCGAGAAGATCGCTTCCGAATTTTGATGACCTAAATTTTAATCCTATTTCACGAATTTCCATTTTCTGGATGATTTTATCAGCGTGACATATAGTAAATAGTGTAATCTATGATCGTGAATTACTAAAAACTTCAAAAAAGTTTTTTTGTTCGTGAACTTGAGAAGAAAACATCATACGCCCTGATAATGTCTTACATGTTGTTACCCCCCGGATCTTCCATCCTTTGAACTGCCAACACTGGTGATACGCCGTGGAAATACACCCTCGGGATTTGTTGTTTGTTGTTCCGCCTTGGTTCTTCGTTCGCAAATTTCGTGAGAGTGTCTTCTTTTTGTTCGTTGTTTACACGTGAAATATCAATCGGATGCATTTCGAATGAATCGGGCGTGACTAGATACTACAGAAACAGTACGTTTGGCATATTAAAACAATAAAATTCGTAGTTCTGGTGCAAGGCGTAACAAGCAGATGCATCATAGAGTTGGAAATTGGAAATACGCCATGTAAAAGGAAACGTTTTTGATGATTTGAAATGATATTCTCTTCTACTTTTTCGTGTTTATCGAGAAGTTTGTGAACTGTTCTCTCTGTATGTGGCAAAAGATTTGCATTGAGTGTCGGAGATTGTAAGTAATCTGAAGGATGCCTCGCTGGATACGCCCAAGACTGGATGGGCAGTAGCTGGTGGCCGTGAACGGTTCCTGGGGAAAGCACTAGATGCGACCCTCCTCCCAGATGACCATGGCAATACAGGAAGTATTACAACAAAGGTAATTGCTATTAGATATTTTGCAAACAGTGACAGATAGCGGACATGAAGAACCAGTGGAGGTGCCGGGCAAATGGACAAATAGACAAATGGTAAGTTACAAATTCGCTGTTGTCGTTGTCGTAGGCGCCGTCGTAATCGCCGTCGTAATCGTAGGCAGCACCGTTAGTATATTTAAAATTAACCACCAACCGCTGAAAACATGCAAAAGTGAAATTCGAGAACGTAATTTCATTTGAATAGCTTGTTTAACCAGGTCTTAAACCATCGTCACGTCGGTCATAGCTTGTTATGATTGCCTGAACCATACGTAAAGAGAAAATCGAAACATTTAACGTCGCTTGAAAATGGATCTTAATGAAGGCCTCTTTCGTAGCTTTTAGTTCAAGAATTTCAAAGATCGTCGGTTGCAGTGGCTTGCTTACTGAGCAGAAAAACGCGGTTTGTAAAACTTTTCGTTGTCGTCGGTGCCGTGTTGAGTAACGCTATAATGTGATATGAGGGGCTCGGTGGCCTTAGAACAACCGGTTTTGCTTACTGAGCAGAACATCATGAGTCTAATCTCAAGCCCATCCACATTCAAGATTCGTCAATCGTTTTATTTGTTAACATGACTACATGGTAATAACAGCAACTCGATGATTAAAAAGGAGCTCCTCTGCCTAGTGGCAAACGTTTTTGCTTACTGAACAGAAGACCGTGGGTTCAATCCCAATCTCCTTCGCGTTATATGATTGTTAAGACATCAATTCAGCTTATCGTTTACCAAAACGAACCCTGCTGCAGACCCAACCCTATTACCCAATATCCCAGTGATTCCTCGTGGAAGTGCAGAGGTGTTATCGGCTTCCATTAAAGCGAGTGTCACGTCAACACATTCCTACCCCTTCCTTTCTTGACCTGTGTTCGGGCGCGGCCGGCGCTGGTATTGCCTAGTTTGAGATCACCAGTTTTTACACATTGAGGATGATTGCTAGTCCCAAGCATCGTCTATTGGTTCTCTGTGTAATTACAGCTGGTATGGCAATAACAGAGTAGCAACCGTGGGCGGTCAATCATGCTCATGTTCTCTCTGTATGTGGCAAAATATAGTTTGTTTACATTTTGGCTCTTCCGCCCCTTTCAAATGTTAGTCTAGATATGATGTGATAAAACCACGAACTTTGATCATGAAAAATGTGAAAACACTTTCAAGTCAGTTTGTCCCATCAAGCAAAATAATCGCATATCCGTCCCATCCTGAAATTCAATCGCCCATAGTTCAAGTTAAAAATCTGTTTTTCGAATTGTCATATTTTTCGCTGATATAACAAAACATGCAAGCATCATTGCAACTTGAAAAAAATATCAATAAATTTAGTATGATTTTTCAAATATTTACATAGGAATTGCACTTCGTAACTTCGACGGCCATTTTTTTCAATGCCTGCTTTTTTTCCATATGGGACTGATATGCGATTATAGGCAGTACTGACGTTGGAACTCGCTCAACGTGAAACTAAACATGGTTCATGAAATTTAATACCCACGTCCAATAGACCAATACTTGAAGAATATTACTGAAAGGTTATTTACTGAAAGGAAAAACAAATGTAATTGAAGGAGATTCCCAAGATTCTGGGGCTTTGAAATTTATGTAGAGATAATAACAATCTTCGTGATGCAAGATTTGGAGAAAAAAATAATTAAAATGTGAGATTTTGCAAAATTTTCAAGACCACAGATTTGAAAAAAAAAGTGGAGACATAATTGTCATGCTATGAGATTTGTTAGCATTTAAATGATTATAACAAATTACAGAACAATCTATAGAATCTTGCGGACAACCCTGGAATTTTTAGTAAAATTTATAAGAATTCAAACAAATATTGAGGAGGATTCCCACACAGTTTTCGAAGGAGAAGTTCTGAGCAAAATTCCAGAATTATTCTGACATTTCAAATAAGCAATTTTTTTTTATCAATTCTGGCACCACTGCAAATAATGTTTACATTCAATTGTTATTGTTGTTGTTGTTATTTTTGTTTACAGTTACAACGATTCGATCCCAGATTGGTACGATTGAGTACGAGGATTATCGCCAAATCTCGATACCTCGATAATCTCGGAAGTGATATAGTAATAGATTTTCGGGACAACACAGGATACGAATGGACTCATGGAATAACGCCGAGAAACATGGATACGGTAAGGTTGAATGATAGTCTAACAATTAGGAAACGTGAACAAAGAGTATCGTTCACGTTCAGAAAGTTGAATGACGGCCCTTGCCGTTGCCAGTTTAGTTCTTTGCCATACGTATAAACAAGAAGCGAATGATAGAGCATTTTAGCGAAACGAGGCACTCACCGTGGCCACGAATTGCAGGGTTCTTGGAATCGCTTAGTGCCGGGTCCGTCCTGCTGGACATTGGATGCAGTAATGGTAAATACCTGGGGTTGAATCCTCAGATCATCGACTTGGGTTGCAATGGATTATTGAAAGTTTGCACCGACCGTGGCTTCAATGTGCTACAATGCGACTGCCTAGCGTTTCCTTTTAAAGTGACATGTGTGGATGCT